CATGTTATGTTCCTTGAGAAGAAATTTATGAATGCTAGAAATAGTGAGAGGAAATTTGAACTCAATAACAATCGAGTAGACTCACAAATTGATACTTCACTTATGGAACCCAAGTAGAAAGGTTACAAAGTGTTATAACTATCCCATAAATATAAACACAAGAACATAAGTTTAAAGGAAATTCATCAAAGGACAAAAGGATATGATCTTGTTGTCTCAACACATGATGATGTAAGTCCTAAAAAGGATAATAAAGCTAGCACTTATGAAATGGTAATGTTAAACATTGACCCCTAAAAAAGGCAAACGAAAAAGGTGTGTAGATGACAAACCTTGATGATTCTTAAGAGCATACTAATAAGATTAGTAAAATGAAAAAAGTCCATTTATAGAATTGAGCATGCCACTAGGAATTAAAGTCGACATTTTAATGAAAAAATCAAAGAGTTTGATTATTCACAAAAAATGAAGATGAACCTTGTGTATATAAAAGGTTAGTGGAAGCCTACTAATCATGGTTATTCAATAAGAAATGTTAAACAAACTACTCCTCAATGATAAAATTATCATGTTACAAAAGATTAAGATATCCAAGAGTAATTTCCCTAGTATGACATGAGAGAGCATCCTACGGTCTAAGAGTAAAGATCTATAAAGATAAATCACTTGGAATGTGAAGAGTCTCCCAAGGCGAGATACAATGACATGATACTAAAAGGGTTGAGTATGAAAAAAAAATTTATTCCAATGTCATATAGCTTGATGACCGATAATATAAGATCCATAACGCAAGATAAGGAACTAAGGTCTTATCAACGGTCTAAGCATGTACTTGCATCGCTACCACTTAATTATAGAGATAAAACACTCATAGTGATATAACGAGAGAAGTGGTCCTCGCTAATGATAACATAATTGATCCTTTGACTAAGCCTTTATCACAGTACTGCAACATATGACATTTACTCGAATGTCGAGTTTAAGGTACATGGCTAGTTAGCTCGTGTAAGTGGGAGATTGTTAGTATAGGTGCCCAAGATCCAATCCTTTTGGATGAATTTGACTTATTATATTATTACGGTATTTATATTAATTGTAATAAAAGAAGTTTTTCTATTAATTCTTGTCATTTGTATTTATTCATTGTATAGAATTAGAGAGAAGTTCATACGATATGCATTAACATTAGTGATTGATCAAAATATGTGAGACAAACACTAATACACATAAATGATATTGTTAAATGTCCCAACTCATAGCATGGTCAAGAATGGACATTGACTACATGTGGTTAGACTTATGAGTGTTATGCTCATACTATATGATAACAATAAGAGATCTCACACTTATTGACATGATAATGCCAAAGTAAGCACTTAAGTTATTTATGTAAGATAACATATCACTAGACTTGACTCGTCATGAGAATCCATTTGGTTTAGTCTATGAGAATCTCATATGAGATGGAAACAATTGGTCCTTAGACTTGAGGTCATCATGATTATCTCATTAGAGGATTTATTTACTTTAATACTCATTTCGATTGACCAAGTAAAGGGTTGCATGTGGACGAATTGTTGGGCACAATAGGAATCTAATATAGGTAGGTTAATGACTAAGATAAGACATGTCATTCCTTTTATGCTAAAGGAGTTAATACATTTCACTTCGATGAATATCTACTCTAGAAATCTATGACCATAGTAGGAATACACTAATAGAGCATAGTAGATTTACTCTAATAACTAAGACATTTAGGAATTAAAAAAAAAACTTATGTGATTGTAATTGAAAAAACTAATAACCAAGTTCGAGATTACATTATGATAAGTTAACATGAGGACTGAATTGTATGGTAACCATGATTATGAAAAGTAATAATAGATTAGCTAATCTTCCTAGAGAATGTCTTGCTAGAGGCCAATATTGACTTATGCATTAAGAGATAAAAGATGTGTCTTTTATTCTTCATACATTGCTAATATATCTAGGAGCTTATTGAGTCTCACACATAAGTTTAAGCATTCATATGTTTGAAGAGAAGCAAAGATATTAGAAAAAGTTTTCAATTCCGAAAGTTTCCTATTTTGGAAAGGGTTCTTAAAATGAAAAGTTTCTTAAAATAGCAAGTTTTCTATTTTAGAAATCGGTTTCTTAATTTAGAAGTTAGTTCTAAATTTGGAAGTAAATAACCTAAAATGAAAATGAGTTTTTTAATTTAGGTTAAAGGGTATTTTAGAAAATTATTTCTTAATGTGGGCCACCTAAAATTATCTAAGTTTATTTATCCGAATAGCCCAAATTATTTAATTAGGCCAAACTTGGTTTTGGGTAATAGATTTAATTAAAAGCTCGAAGATATTTTGATGGGAGGATAAACATAAACGTTATTGAATAAAGATGAATGTTTTATAGATAAAGATAAAAAAATCCACATGTTAAATAACTCCTAATTCTTAGAGGATTAGGAAGCAATAACTATGGGTCCTATTTAGGATAAGTTTATAAATAGGAGAAGAGAGATACGAGCAACTAATAAGAAAAAAAAATGGAGAGAATTCGATAATAAGAGTTTTAAGGAAAAGAATTCGGTAAAAAGAAAATGGTTTTAGGCTAATAGATTTAATTAAAAGCCCGATAGTATTTTAATGGGAGGATAAACATAAACGTTATTGAATAAAGATGAATGTTTTATAGATAAAGATAAAAAATCCACATGTTAAATAACTCCTAATTCTTAGAGGATTAGGAAGCAATAACTATGAGTCCTATTTAGGATAAGTTACCGTTCATTCTTATCCTTGCGGGATAAAAAAACTCTCCTCTTATAAATAGGAGAAGAGAGATACAACAACTAATAAGAAAAAAAAATAGAGAGAATTTGATAATAAGAGTTTTAAGGAAAAGAATTCGGCAAAAAGAAAATAGTTCTCAGGGCACACGAAATAAAGGAAAAAAAAAAAAAATAGTTTGCTCGTAAAAAATCCTACACACGCCACTCTCTTCTTCGTTTTGGGTTGTCGTAAAATTACTCGGATTAGATTTATATAGGAAACACTAAACAAATTAAAAAAGGTGGAGTAAGCACTTTATCAATTTTAAATGCTTCTTTATGATTGCTTGGATCGAGTGAATAATCAATAGAAGTCGGATGCTTAGATGACTCATTTCTTTGTTAAAGAATTTAGATTTACGTTACAAGAGATAATTCTCTATTCATCACTTTAATTCATTGATATATAATTAGTTGATTCAACGGTATGATTTTAGGCCCTTTAGATGGAGGAAATTTTTATTTTATTTTTTCTCTCATAGGATGCATGATCCTTCACTAAGGCCACGGTGAGAGTATACCAATAGAGCATAGTTGGTTTACTTTAGAACTAAGACATTTAAAAATCGAAGAAAACTTTTCTAATCATAATCAAACAAACTATAAACCAAGTTTGAGATCACGAGTGTGATAAATTGATATGAGAACCGAATTGTATGGTACCTATGCTAATGAAAAGTAATTGCAAATTAATTAATCCTTTCGGAGAATTAGGTAGTCATGATGTCTTACTAGAGGCCAATCTTAATTCATGTATCGAGAGATAAAAGAGATGTCTTTTATTCTTGATACATTGTCAATATATTTAGAAGCCTATTGAATCATACGCATAAGTTTAAACATTCACACAATAAAAGAAAAGCAAAAATTTTGGAAAAAAATTTCAGTTTTTTGAAAGTATTTTATTCGAAAAAAATTCTTAAAATGAAAATTTTTCTATTTTTGAAAGTCAATTTCTTAAAATGAAAAGTCGAGTTTCTTATTTTAGAAATTAATTTCCTTATTTGGAAGTTAGTTCCAAATTTGAAAGATAGTTACACGAAAAGAAAATTGGTTTTCTAATTTAGGTTTAAGGATAATTTGAGAAATTACTTCCTAACGTGGAGCTCCTAAAAATATATGACTTAATTTATTTGAATAATCCAAATTAATTGGTAATTAATTAGGTCAAAAACGTTTAGACCAATAGGTTTAATTTAAATGCCTGCAAGATATTTTTATGAAAGGATAAACTTGAGCATTATTGAATAAAGCTTAGAGTTTAGAAGGATAAGGTTAGACAAAACCCACATAAGCAATATATCCATGATTTACAAGGAGAAATTGCCACAAGGAGAAGTTGTCGTCCTCTATATAAATAAAAGAGAGATAGGCGACATTCTTAAGCACAAAAAGAAAAGAAACACATGGCATAAGGAAAAAAGAGAGGAAAAATGTTTTTCTCCCCAAAAACAAAATTGTCGCATCTCTCCCTATAAAAGCCAATAGTTGGCATAAATTACCTTATAGGATTTTTAGAGGAAAATTAACTATACAGAAGGATTGGAGGTAGTACTCTATGATTTTTGTGGCTTCTTGTGTTGGTGTTTGAACTACGTAGATAATCAACAAAGGCTGAACACTTGGACTGTTCCGTTTTTTCTTGCATTATTTCTGCGTTACAAAAGATAAACTTTCATCCATATTTATATTCATGTTTACGTACGATTAGTTAATTTAATGAAATGATTTTGAAAACCCTTAACTGAAAAAAATAAATTATTTATTTTACATCTTCATATATGATGCATATCCTTTCATTAAATCCCCGCACGCTTCTCAGTCTTTTTTAATAGCTAACAAACCCAACTAATTGTTCCTCTCGCTACCGCTAATACCAGTTACATAGCTAACTAATTCTCTGTAAACTTCCTTTGCCAGCTGCTATTTCTCTGTATAAACTTCCTTTCCCAGCTAAGCTGCCAGCTATGATACGATTTGCCACAAAGTTACCATCTAGCACCGTTACTAACAAGTTGCCACATAATGCCATCAAGCACTCTTGCTAACTCATTAATAAAGAGTTGCATCAGTCTCTTATCCGAAGGCCAACAGTCTCCTCCTCTCACAATTGAACCAAAATCTTGACCCGAATTCAGTTGGAGCACAAACTTTAACAAACTAATTAATGGCGTCTAAATCCAATGAACAAATAGTGATGCTCCCTTTTATGGCTCATGGCCATCTCATCCCTTTTCTTGCTCTAGCAAGACAAATCCATCAAGCAACTGGTTTCACCATATCCATTGCAAGCACCGCTCTCAACATCCAATACCTTACTTCTACCTTCAACTCCTCATCCGATGAGCCAAACAATGACCATATCCACCTCGTTGAGCTACCTTTTTGTAGTAATGATCATGGCTTGCCTCCAAACACTGAAAACTCTGAGAACTTGTCGTTGGATCTGGTTGGCAAACTTTTCTCTGCATCACTAAGTCTTAGGACTCCATTTCACAGCTTTGTAGGTGATATTGCAGCTAAACAAGGTCACCCTCCACTTTGTATAATATCAGACATTTTCTTTGGATGGGCAGGTGAAGTTGCCGACAGTTTGGGGACTGTCAATGTTTCTTTCTCTACAGGTGGTGCTTATGGAACCTTGGCTTATTCATCTCTTTGGCTCAATCTTCCTCATCGAGGTAGAGGTGATTCTGATGAGTTTCATTTGCCGGGATTTCCAGATAGGTGTCGCTTTCACATCACTCAGTTGCATCATTTCTTAAGAAATGCTGATGGCACTGATTCTTGGTCTAAGTTTTTTCAGCCCCAGATTTCACTTTCAATGCAATCTTTTGGATGGTTGTGCAATACAGTTGAGGAATTTGAGCCTGAAGGACTGGAATGGTTGAGGAAGTTTGTCAAGCTTCCTGTCTGGGCTATTGGGCCTCTTCTGCCACCAGTTGTACTCAAGAATGATTCTTCTTCATTGGTAATTTCATCAGGTATAAGCACAAGACGCGCTGGTAAAAGACCTGAAATTTCTACAGAAAAATGTATGGAATGGCTTGAATCATACAGTCCAGGTTCGGTGCTCTATGTTTCTTTTGGTTCCCAAAACAGCATAAGTCCATCCCAGATGATGGAATTAGCTATTGGTTTGGAAGAGAGCGCGAAGCCTTTCATTTGGGTCGTTAGACCTCCTGTTGGTTTTGACAAAAAATGTGACTTCAGAGCAGAATGGTTGCCTGATGGATTTGAAGAAAGAATGAAGAATAGAAAGCAGGGGTTGTTGGTGAGAAACTGGGCACCCCAATTGGAGATTTTATCACACATGTCCACTGGAGCATTCCTAAGCCACTGTGGGTGGAATTCAGTGCTGGAGAGCTTGAGTCAAGGTATGCCAATTATAGGATGGCCATTGGCAGCTGAACAGGCCTATAACTCTAAAATGCTGGTGGAGGAGATGGGTGTAGGTGTGGAGTTGACAAGAGGAGTGCAGAGTAGCATAGATTGGAAGGAGGTGAAGAAAGTGATAGAGTTGGTTATGGACAAGAAAGGGAAAGGAGGTGATATGAGGAACAAAGCAATGGTGATTAAAGAGCAGTTAAGGGCATCAGTGAGAGATGAAGGAGAAGACAAAGGGTCTTCTGTCAAAGCACTGGATCATCTTATGAGGACCCTTGAATCAAAAAGACAGGTGATTAGTAGTACTAGTACCATTTAATTATATGATTAATCCTTTGTAGTAATGAGGATTAAGGTGTTCTACAGCTAACAGCTATACAGCTATAGCATCATCCTATGTTAATGTGTTTGTTATGGCTTCAGTTTTTCTATTGGCTTAAATTTTGAGGATTTCAATTTATAATATACACTGCTAATTAGTACATTACGTAATCAGAAGGGAAGTCTAGAATATTAATAATAATTGGATTTGAATAAGATAAGTAGCCCTATAAAAAAAATTTAAATCTAACAGCGATGCAATAGGCAGGCATCATCATTTGCCATGCCGGCATGAAAGCAACTCCAGAGGGCTTAAACAATGTTGCTCCATCCAAGTCCATACCTCATAGGCTAGTAGTAGTACCTATGCTTTGTTTCACATGTCAATGCCATTGGTGGTGACCACTGACCACCCCATTCATCATTTGCTTTCCGTCCTGTTCCTTTTGGCATTTTGCAAGCCAGCGATGGGCACTGGGCAGCTTTCATGCCTTTATTTGCCTTTTCCTTTTTTCCCATCTCTTTGTTTGGTGTTAAATGAGAGATATTTGAGTCATGAACTTGCATGTGCTGCCACCTCATTTAATAGTTTACATACAGAGTTTCTACAATAATGAGATTGCCATTATACTCCTACAAGATTGTCCCATTGGCTATTGCATGCCACAAGTGTGATAGAATGTCTGTTGATAACCTTGATAGCTTTTTTACCTTCTTTTCCCCCTGCCAAATTGCATATTATAACTTATTGTTTTTACAAAATTTGTTATTTCATTAAGGGTGTCAAATAATGGACCTGTTTATAGTTGGATAGACATCCTTTTCAGCATAAATTGAACCGATTATTCTGTTGACTAAACACACATTTTCTGATGTAGTTAGGCCGTAGAACATATAAATTCTATATGCTATGATTTTGACATCAAACAAACTCACCAAGAAAATGAAATTTGAGGCTAAATTGTAGGCTTGTTAGGTTAAATATATAATGACCATAATGGTTGAGGGCATCCTCTCACGTTTTTGGGAATTTTTTTTTTTTTTTTTTTTTTTTTAAATGACCCCAGACGTAGACATCAATTCTATGTGGCATAGGTTGAATCCTAAATTATTTCCATTAGTTTGCATCACAATCTTTCCCCGGAAGAAAATCAGAAAATTTTGAAACATGAAACGGAAGAAATAAAAGATCTAGTTGGTTGTAATCATCTCCATTAATGAATATTATTCGACCATTTAACTATTGTTAATCACGCTGTGGTATCAAACGGTCAGGAATCATCAACCAGACTCTTAAAATTGGTGCCAGCCTCAGCCTCCATGGATACAAAATTAACTCTAAACCAGCCCGAATCCTGCTAGCCGGGCTGGTAGATGGGGTCATGAACCAAAATTACCAAAATGAATATTTTTTTGCTGAAAGAAGTTGAACACATTTATAACATTTCCTTAACCATCAGCACTCAGCAGATACCAAGAAACATGTTCACATTTTAATTATCTAGTCCATAAAGCAAGTGATTTGCTTCTCACGTCAAAGTGAAACCAGACTAGACATTTTATATGCTAATCTTTAAATCATATTACCTTGTGTTTCCCTCTTCTAGATCCACTAGAATTTCCATTTTCCATCAACGCTGATAATGATATCCACTTGCATCAAAGCAACTCAAGATGGGAAGAGAGGAAGGCAGCCTGTATATATATATATATATATATGTATGTGTATATATCATTAAATGATGACAGTCAGAATTAAACAGCTACATAAATTTGCCTCACACTTCCCTTCTCATCAATGTACAATCAAGCTTACTAACATCTCATCATACCCCTCGCCACCCTCGACATCTCCACTTGACTTCAATATCTTCCACTCTCCAATATGTGACTTCATATCTTAAGAGACAATGCATTAGAGAGGTAAGAAAGAGGGAGTAAAGCAGGATGAAAATCCCCAGATTTGATGATTACCAACCACAAGCCACCACATAAGGCAGGAGGCTTGTTCCATCATTTTACTGATAGAACATGGCGGATGAATAACAAAAGACCATCCCTCGCTGATCAGACAAATGATGTAACAACCTTCGGTGCTATTTCAAACTGCTGAAGCTACTGCCAAAAAACTGAAACCAGATATAATATAAACACAACTATAAAGTGCTATGAGCTTTTCCCTTTAGGTTTTGGTGACTGCTGAGGCTGGTTATATGGAGAAGCACGCACATCACTTAAGCTCCTCAAAGGTTGTCCATTCCTTGTTACAAATCCTGCCTGTGTTCTAATGCCATTTTTAGCATTCATGTTTGACTTGTTTCGATCTGCTTGCATAGTTTGAAAGTAATATGAAGAGCTAGCCATATCCTTTAAGTTTGGTAAAGGCTTTAGTGCTTCAACAACTTCACTCATCCGAGGTCTGCCTTTGGGATCACGGCTAAGACACTGGGCAGACAACTGAATAGCTTTCTGAGCTCCTTTGATCGAGAAATGGCCTTCAAGGCGAGGGTCTAATAAGCGGTAGAACCTTCTCTTGTCCCCAAAATGTGGCCTTGCCCATTCCACAAGGTTGTGCTCCCCATTTGGTCGATTTTTGTCCATGGATCTTCTGCCAGTGAGCATTTCGAGTAAAACTACTCCAAAGCTGTAGACGTCACTCTTTGATGTCAAATGTCCTAAACCAATGTCGAAGACAATAGAGTGGCAGAACATTAGATTATTTTAAAAGAAGAAGAAGAAGCTAAAATAGTTGAAAAATATGGATGTGTCAATAAAAAATTATGGTTATCCAAAACATGACATATTAGAAGTCGTAACATTACAACAGCTAAAATTTGAACATGAAGAATTACTTTATCAACTTTTCAAATACAATAAGTATTTTATGAACATGATAAATCTCTCTACCTTGGTGTATTCCAAAATGTCTAAGAATTAAATAAACACAATGGACAAGGATGCGCAATGATTAACAAGCAAGACTCCAGCAAAAGACACCAAGTTGCCAGTTGTGAAAATTAGTTCAGATATGGTATCCATTACACAGAAGAACAAGTGTTGTATGATTGATTCTAGCATTACAGAAGTGACGTTCAGGATACAGATGAGCTGATGTTATTTGATACCAGGGTGTCTGACCTTATATTGTCAAGAAATACAGCAATACAGAAGTTTGAACTAAATTGGAAACTTAATCCAAATTCCATCACATTCTACCTTTCTCAACAGGCTTTTGAGTCTAGATGACTTAAGGCCAGGAGATGGCTGTTTTAATCACTGGGTTCAATAAGCCTACAGACTACTACTATTTTTGCAGTGTTTGCACTTTTTTTAATATTGACAATGCCATGGAAGACTAGCAAGATTGAGTGGTAGCAGACATAGGACCCCCAAACTCGTGTTCTAAAGTCAACGAATTGTAGGGAGTTCTCTTCTATAGATAGACCCCGTTTCTCTCCTCTACCCACTCAGTGATATCGGAGTTGTGGTGTCTTCAAACCCACAAACGCATTGCCAAGGAACATGTTCTTCCTTTCGCCCATATACTAGGGTGCAGTGGTGTTGTGATACTAATAGCAGTTGAATGAAGCCGAACATATATAAGGTCATCCTTGACTCAAATTGCCAGAAGCTGAAAAGTTTAGTGTTGTTTTTTTTTTTTTTTTTTTTTTTTTTTAAAGCTGAAATGAATTCACTACGTGTTTAATCCAATTTTCTTTTAAGCCAGGCCTGAAAAGTTGCACTAAGCGTTCTGTTCATTTGCACCACTAAGCATGTCCTAACCATATCTCATTTGAATAGGCAAATACCGACAGCTGCAGTTTAAATCCTTATCACAGAGAATTTAGAACGTCTGAATTTTTACATGATTGGTAGACTGCCTCCTTATCCATTGCAAGGAAATTCAACAACTAACAAGCACTGTTGACATTCATTCAAAGGTATGTATACATCTATACATAAACAAGTAGCAGGAAAAGGCATTTAAGACAACTCACCAGTCATCACATATTCCGGGGCAGCATAGCCATAAGTTCCCATAACTCTGGTAGAGACATGGGTTTTGCCTCCATCAGGAGCATCCTTGGCAAGTCCAAAATCAGAAAGTTTGGCATTGTAGTCCTAAAACAGTAATGTCTTGTATCAGAATCAGAAAGGGACTGAAAAGGGGAAATGATTAGTGAAGTAATTTCCAATAGATGCATATGTTAAGCCACATACCGCGTCTAATAATATATTAGATGTTTTAAAATCACGATATATTACTGGTCTGTCAGCCTCCTCATGAAGGAAAGCAAGACCTTGTGCAGCACCAAGAGCAATTTTCATCCTGATGGACCAAGGAAGAGGCAAGGACCCTTCTGCACATAACATGGTTGTTACCAGAGAACATTAAACATCGAGAAAAGAGGTTGTGTTGATCTAGGGAGCTCTAAAATCATTTGCTGAAGGAAGATAACATCTGACGTAGGATTTTGATAGGCTGAATTCCAAAGCAGTTAGATTATAGATGAACAATAACTGCTTCTGGCCACTTTTTACTTATCGAAACAAAAAGTTTACAAGCCATGTTAATGAAAAGAAAAAACCAGTGAAACCCCATATAAATCCCTTGAACATTCAAAATCAACTTCTAAAACCTATTCCTACATAATATATCTATAGATCCTCCTTCCAAAGTGGCAGTAATGGACTCCATCCCGAGGAGGTTAATAGGTTTTGCGAGGACTATGTCTGATAAGTTTCATAGAAATGAGGTAAGCCCAATGGCAGACTCCTGCAATTCAGACTATTAAATTCAAAACTACTTCCGAAACTTAAATCAACTTTAAGACCTCTATCTACCTGCCTAGAATGCAATAAACAATATTAGATGTTGTGTGTAGGCAGAGCCATAAACACCACTTCAGCCAGTTGGACCTATTGCCTGCATTTGGCCAAGAAAATACCACTAAACTGGGAAATTAATTTACAGAAACACTTCTCTCCTAATCAGTGCAAGTGATGACCCAATAGTTATCACCTTCAAGCGGACTGATGTCCAAAAGATGCTAATCTCCAAAGATCTACAACATTGAGTCAGTCAAATTTTAAGGCTCTGAGATTTATGAATCAAGTATTACAAAAGCACATCATATACATAGCAACAACCTTCACACTTCCTACAAAGACTTCAAGTCTATATGCCAATTTATGCACATCGGAGATCTTGCTCTTTTCTGTTGTAAAATAAACATATCATGAGTGTATTATCTTATATATATATATATATATATAACGGCAGATATAGAGCTCAAAGATTTTGATTGAACACGTTTAGCTTCTACTTTCTATCAAATATTCCCGTAAAATAGTGTATCTTAATATTAGGTGCGTAAATGCAAATCAGTATTGGTTTTATGTGCGTAGAACATTATGATAACATACTAATTTTGTCATACAGTATAAATTTGGAAAGCAATTATATCTGAGATAACTAAGGTACATTCTAGGATATAGCTTTGAAGTTACATACTTCTGAAGAGGTGATTCTCTAAACTTCCTCTAGGCATGAACTCATATACCAGCAACCTTTGATCATCTTCAATGCAGAAACCAACCAATTTCACTAAGTTTTTATGGAGAAGGTTCCCAAGAAAACTAACTTCAGCCTGAAATATTGTGAAAGCCATGATTAGCAATATAAAGTTAAATAATCATCTAACTTTTTTATTTTTCCAAGAACAAAAATCATCTAACATTTGAAAAAACCAAGATAGAAGTGACAAATAGAAAGAGATCATACAAGCCACTCTTTATGACCCTGAAGTCCATCATGGTTGAGGGTTTTCACTGCAACGGTAAGCCCAGTGCCAGGCTTCACAGGAGCAGTTCCATTCTCTTCAATCCAACCTTTGAAGACGCACCCAAACCCACCCTCCCCAAGAAGACTCTCAGGCCTAAAGTTTCTAGTTGCTAATTTAAGGTCATTAAATGTAAATTTCCGGAGCTGAGAAGCAAGCTTCAATTCCTCACTGAACGTTGGAAGTGAGGATGCACTCTCTGCATTGCTAGTCGTGGTAGTAGAAGACATTGCTGGAACAGTAGGTTGGTTTTTGTTCTTCTCATTTGTAGCTTTACTTTGCACTGAAAACCAAAGCAATGGACAATTACTTGCTACTATTCAAATCCAGTAGTATTTGTCTATTAATATTTATATGTAACAACTTATTAACAACGTTTCTCAAAAGAACCAATTGGAAACATGACAAGTTACTGAATTTTAATCAAGCTAAATGAAGAACTAGTAGACAAACTAGTTGCTATCATGTTACTCAATGCATGGATAATATAGTAATGATCATGATAGACCTGTTTATTAAGGAGCAACAGGCCAAACCAAAATTACCATGAGATGACAATCTTCAAAAAAGGGCCAATAAATTTGAACACGGCCTTTAAATAACAGTACTACCTAAAAGGATCAAAATTCAGGAACACTTGTAACTCGCTTTTCTTCTTATTCTCTCTAAATATTGACACCAATTAATGAAACAACATGTTCAGAAGTCCTAAAAGAACTTGTGCCTTCTGTTTACTTGATTTGCTTCGAACCAAATCAGCGTAGCATTTTTTTACATATATATCCACACAAGCCTATAGACATATGGTTCTACATAAATATCAGTTGAAGAAATCATTAAAGGAAAAAAAAAAAAAACAGAGAGATTTTTACCATAATGAGTTGAGATACCACTTAAAGAGCTATCAACTTTTGATCTTGAAGGCATGCAACTTCCCATCAACCTGAATTTAAACCAACATCCAATATCCTCCCCGTCCTTTTCATTTCCTTGATTTTTGTTATTTTTCTTGCCCTTTGATTTATCCTTAAAATTCTTTACCTTTGCAGAATCTGGACTCAGACCCATCTTCATCTTCATAAACATAAAAACTCAAACAAAAGTTGAAAAATTAATCAAAACAAAGAAAGCCCATTTCAAAGATACTAACTCTAAATCATCTAAACCATCAAAATTAGAAATCAAGTGATTATCAGTGAAAACCAGTGATGCCCAGTTGTGAAGTTTAGTCAAAAGGAGGTTTGAGAGAGAGAGAGACACGATTGAGAAAGAGGGAAAGGGTTCAACAAAGGGCAGTTTGGGCAGTTTGAAACAGAGACCACGGGCAGAGGGGCAAGAGAGAGAAAAAGAGTGGTCATAACAGTAACCTTGGCATATTCCAATTTCCAGGCAACAAATCATCATATGATAATAATAATAATTAATAAAATAGAGTTAATTATCACTTAATCCCTTTAGTTTAAGAAACTAATAAATTAATCCTCATAGTTTCAGAACTCTATGTTTAAAATTCTTATATTTTTCAAATCATTTATAACTTGTCCGCGCGTCCCTTCCATGTTATCTTCATTCTTTTTTTTTTTTTTTTTGAAAAAAAAAAAAGACTAAGAAAGCTAAGTAGAAGAATTATGAAAACTTGATTAGGAAAGAAAGAAAATTTATACATTAAAAAAAAAATTGTTATTCTCAGTCATATATATAGAAGTTAGTTAATTTCAATAAGCTACCTACCATAATAAGCTACTGTTACATAAATAGAATGCTAATGACTCGAATTTGATAAAGTGAGATTTTGGTATAGTAAGTTATAATTAAGTTCGTATATTTAAAGAAACAAATAATTCAATCATTCTAATGCATATATTTTATTTTGTATAAAATATTTTAAGATAAGCTTTTTCTTGATTTTTCAATGGTTAGTTATGATAAAGTATTTAAAACAAAAAACAAAAACTAATCAACATATAATATTATACAATCAATCTATGAACTTAATTTATTTAATGAAAAATATTTTTAAGTCATGAAGTTTCATTAAATATTATGAATTATTCATCCGTTATATCATTGGCAGTTTTATTAGTTTTTTCTACTAACTTTCATGGTCCAATATGATTGAAGGATTAAGTTATTACTTTCCAAAACAGAGGAACTAAATGATGCGTTAACTAAAGATACAAGGACTAAATTATAATTAACTTTTTTGGTATAGCAGTTGGTACAAAGTTCAAGGATTTATGCAGTGCTACCATTGAAATGGTGCCACATATAAAGTCAACAAGTGGGTAGGAGTTGCAAATAATGTGGCAGTGATAGAAAGTGCTAACTATCAAAATGTGTGAGTACACAAACAATTTTATAATATTTTCAATCTGGGCACAATTTTCTAATGGAGACATTCTTATTGATAAACCTCCTTTGGTTACGACTTCGTGTCTTGATAAACTTCAAGTCATCTATTGCTGCTTCTATATGGACCAAAAAAAAAAAAAAAAAAAGTAAGTAAATTATCACCTTCAGCAGGATTTTGAAGTCATCTTTTATTAATGATCATTGATCAGTGAACACATCCATAATTTATAGGGTACTCTTCCAAATATTCGAGTTGCTAGGAAGACCTGAGTGGATATGCTTTAAACGTAGAAAACTTTCGTTGGGCTTGAAAAGTTTTTTTTTTTTTTCCTTCGTGATAATGAAATATTGAGCTTTATTCTTTTAGATGCATGATATTTTTCAACCCAGTGATTTTTTTCCCCTCTCTCTTTTACTAGGTTACTGTATTAATACTTGACTCTTTTATATTTATACGGAAGAAAATATTAATCTGGATATAAGTACAGCTCACAGCTCAACATGAGACTCGAAATCAACGAGGGTTGATGGTTAATCTTTAGGTGGAGATGAGCACTGAGGACTGATGGTTAATCTTCAGGTGGAGATGAGTACGAGGATGTGCTGAAACATTTGCTTGGCGGGATAAAAATAAGATTCCTTATGTCTAATTAAAAATTAAAAAAAATTAAAAGGCATGAGATTTGTTAATAGTAAACTTTTCCTTTAGCTTAAATTACTTTTCGTTTGGTAGTAATTTAAGTAATATATATATATATATATATATATATATATATATATATATATATATATATATATATATATATATATATATATTAGCATTGTTATGCAAATTTAAAGGTTTTTTTTTTCCTTCATATTCATATTGTAACATTTTTTTTTTTCAATATGCAACCTCATCTTGACCCTTACATGCTAGGAAGAGAGAGAAGAGAGGAGAAACGGGACGATGGACAAACCCATTCGATTACTCTAATAGTAGAATTTATCATAATTTTGTTCATCTCAACGAGTAAAATCTGTTTATTATAGTGACAAATGATAAAATGATCGAAAGTTATGATCAAGATTCAAAAATATTTGAACCTTTTTATTTTAATTAGATTTTTTTTTTTTGTATTAGAATAAGTTTTGAGGTTCTAAAAGAGTTATTTGATGGTTTTTTGGACAAAAATGAGACTAAATTTGATTTTTAGATGCCAAAATTAAGAGAATGACTTTTTCGATGACTTTTTTGGCGAAATTGAATTCGTCGAAATTCCGGAGGTCCCCGAAAACTCAAAACAATTTTTCTTTTCCCAAGCCTAGGTGCATATAGCGGCTAGGTGTGTTGGTCTAGTTCTTCATTTTTTCTTTTCTTTTCTATGACGTTTTTTTCAAATTAAGAATTTTTATGTCAAAATTATTAAATATCAAACATTATTGTTTCTATTTTTCACGTAGCGTAGTGAATATATATATATATATATATATATGAATGGACCATAGATGGATTGTCGGAGTATAATATCCTTAGCTTACTCCAACAAATGACCATGGTTGCTAACGCCTATAAAACCCAACCGGCACCCACGACCGTGCGATAGATGAGTTGCTCATTGCCGATTTTTCCGGTCAATCGAAAGGATGGTGGGACTATCATCTCATCGCCTAATAGCATATGAATATATATATATATATATATATATATATATATATATTTCAGCTTATATTACTTTTGTTGAATTTATCATTTCTTTTGAAAACTCTCATCCAATTGATATTTTTTATATATAATTTTTATTTATCGATAAATATAATTTATTTTTCTCGGTGTTTAAATTTTAACATAAAATTTTAAAACATGATTGTTTTTTTCTTTTTTAACAAATAAATTGGTATAATATATATCATTAATTATTATAATTTTTTAAGGATAGTGTGTGTGTGTGTGTTGGTCAAAATGTATTTTAGATAATTTATCTTAATTCACTAGATATGGTTAAGATAAATAAAAAAATTATTGAATCATCGCTTTTATTAAAAATTAACTATACATATTCCAAGCTTTTTAGATTCTCAACAAGAATCAATTTTTATTTATTTTGACTTTCATGGATTAGGCTCTATACTTGAATAATTTTCATCATAGCAAGTTAAAATATTAAAAAGAAATCATAAAGATTTTCACAAGAAAATAATCTCATTTAAAAAAGTATTTTGACTCACTTGATCAAAAGTCAAAACATATCATGCAACTATCGTGATACAATCCTCAAGGTGATCCTTCTTTAGGCTAGACAAATGAAACATATTCAAATAAAGATTTAGAAAAGAAATTATTTCTTTTTTGAAAGATGATTGTCAAAAGTTGTCTCATAGAAAGTTAAAGGCTCGAATAGGTTCTACAAGCTCAAGGAGTTTTGAAGTAAGCTTAGCTCAAACAAGAATTTTTGCTTAGAAGAATCTCAATTTTATTTCTTTCTCATCTTAGGTATTTGATCAAAACCCATGATTCAATGCCATAAATAATAATTTGTGATGCATGATTCAATGCCATAAATAATGATTTGTGATGCACAAACAAATCAAGTTTTTATTGAAAAACATTTTCTTCTCACTTAAAGCTAAAGTTTATCAACACAAAGTAAGTCATTCTTGATCGGAAAAGACTTTTAAAGGCATGTGATATAGGCTAAGGTTTTGGCTTATGGACAAAAAGATATACAAGGATCAAAGATGTTTAAGGGTATAAAGACTAAAGACTACCGAATCATTCATCAAGATCCTTCTCGGCTTGTTATCTTGACTTTGTCATTTTTATAGTTGGTCTTATCTCCTAATCTCAGCTCTCCTCTATTATTCACTCGTTCCATCTTTTGAATTTTTAAACCTTTTTCTAACTTTAAATTGCGATAGAGGTCTTTGGCGATACTTTCTTTTATCTTAGTGTTATTTCATTCTATTTTTTTTATCTATAATTTCTGTTTTCTTTTTTTTTACCCTTTTTTTTCTAGAATTAATACTAGGGTTCATTTCACGATTTTTGTGCGAACCAAATCTCTCTAACTTCTTTCTTAGGAGAGCATCATCGATTTAATAAATCTTTAAAATTGCTTCTAGTGTAAAGGGTGATCCTAATATGAATTGTCTTTAAGATAAATCATTACATGCTCAAAGTGGAACCCAAAAGATAAAGTTTTGTTTGTAAAGATTACACCAAACTCGGGTATTTCTTCATCTTAAGTTTGATTTGGTTAGGTCGATAAGTGATAAAATCATAATTCATATATTTTTTCTCTATTCACTTAGTCTATTTGTCATGTTTTATGTTGTATTATGCTTATTTATATTCAAATTAATGAATAAGACATTAGTTGGAAAGTTTTAGGAAAATATGCTTTAAAGTGAAATTTTCAGCATCTTTGTGTAAATAACGTTATGGACATTTTATAGGTTTGATATGAAAGATGAATCTAGAATTAAAAATTATCTTCGGAAAGATTATAGAAGAAATCCTAAATATTTTAGAAAAGTTTGATTGGTTGAAATCCGAGATTGTTTAGTCCTTAAGGCATTAGTGTAAAGTTAGAGTCGGAAGCTTAAAAAAATCATGACATACCACTAGAGTTTAAACAGAATGTAATTTGAGTTTCTAGAGGGAAAATTAGGTAATTCAAAAAGCCAATGTACATATAAGCTTTAGGGCTGAACTTTCATGAACAACCTAAGTCCAAACAAAATCGATT